CCCCCTCCCCCCCGCAGCAAAGAAGGGTATGGCTATATATACCCCGGCCCTGACCTCACAGGTCACGAGGTCACCCCATTTGACCCCCTCTCCATTTAGGGGACGGGTGGGGGAAGGAGGGGTAGGCATGCACCCGGGGGGTTGGGGAGTGGGGTTAGGCTCTTCGATATATGCAGCATTTCTTTTAGAATATATTATACGTAAGGGTCCCAGGTCACGCTAAAGCGCAGTCTTGATTGTTTACTTTCATTTTAGAAAAATTCCCAGGCTTTATTGCAATATTTTAACATTTTGAGCATTAATTTCGCGCCCAGGGTATAGGCTGGTGCCCAGGGGCCTAACCCCCCATCCCAAACCACTAACCCCCACTTGTCATCAACCACTCACCCCCTCTCCCCACCCACACTCACCCCTCTCCCCGCCCACACTCACCCCTCTCCCCGCCTACACTCACCCCCTCTCCCCGCCTACACTCACCCCAAGCCATCACTAACCCCCACTTGTCATCACTCACCCCCTCCCCCCGCCATCACTCACCCCCTGCCCCCACAGGTGGCCAGCATCGTGGAGGGGGACCAGCTGACGAAGCTGCAGTTCGAGCAGGTCGCCCTCACCGCCTTCCTCCCCACCGACGAGGCCCTGGGCAACTACACGGGGCCCCACAACAGGCAGCTCATCCAGGCCCACATGTGTGAGTGGGGGGAGCGGGGGGACCCATGGTTCCCCTCATAATGAGGGTTTTGAGGCTTGTAGTGGGAAACATTCAGACCAGTCGTGGGAAACTCAGGTCAATCGTGGGAATCTCTCAGGCCAGTCGTGGGGAAACTCTCAGGCCAGTCGTGGGAAACATTCAGACCAGTCGTTGGAAACTCTCAGGCCAGTCGTGGGAAACTCTCAGACCAGTCGTGAGAAATTCTCAGGCCAGTCGTGAGAAACTCTCAGGCCAGTCGTGAGAAACTCTCAGGCCAGTCGTGGGAAACTTTCGGGCCAGTCGTGGGAAACTCTCAGGCCAGTCGTGGGAAACTCTCAGGCCAGTCGTGTGGGAAACTCTCAGGCCAGTCGTGGGAAACTCTCAGGCCAGTCGTGAGAAACTCTCAGGCCAGTCGTGAGAAACTCAGGACAGTCGTGGGAAACTCAGGACAGTCGTGAGAAACTCTCAGGCCAGTCGTGAGAAACTCTCAGGCCAGCCGTGAGAAACTCAGGCTAGTCGTGGGAAACTTTCGGGCCGGTCGTGAGAAACTCTCAGGCTAGTCGTGAGAAACTCTCAGGCCAGTCGTGGGAAACTTTCGGGCCAGTCGTGAGAAACTCTCAGGCCAGTCGTGAGAAACTCTCAGGCTAGTCGTGAGAAACTCTCAGGCCAGTCGTGGGAAACTTTCGGGCCAGTCGTGAGAAACTCTCAGGCCAGTCGTGAGAAACTCTCAGGCTAGTCGTGAGAAACTCTCAGGCCAGTCGTGGGAAACTTTCGGGCCAGTCGTGAGAAACTCTCAGGCCAGTCGTGAGAAACTCTCAGGCTAGTCGTGAGAAACTCTCAGGCCAGTCGTGGGAAACTTTCGGGCCAGTCGTGGGAAACTCTCAGGCCAGTCGTGGGAAACTCTCAGGCTAGTCGTGAGAAACTCTCAGGCCAGTCGTGGGAAACTNTAGGTCGAGGTAGAGGTAGACCTCATTGAGGTAGATTTAGGTCGAGGTAGAGGTAGACCTCATTGAGGTAGATTTAGGTCGAGGTAGAGGTAGACATCATTGAGGTAGATTTAGGTCGAGGTAGAGGTAGACCTCATTGAGGTAGATTTAGGTCGAGGTAGAGGTAGACCTCATTGAGGTAGATTTAGGTAGAGGTAGACCTCACTGAGGTAGATTTAGGTCGAGACGATGGGTCGGGGCGCCCGCGTAACATCTCCGCATCATCGACGGAGTGTCCACTTTTTTAAGCGCGATGGCCGCCTCCCAAGCAAACTAAAAATAAAATTATCATAATTGTATAGCACAGCTTCTTTCAATAGGGCTGTATTACAGCATCACAATTGAGACTATTTTGAAGGTTATTCACGTCGCAGTATTTATCTTAATCTGTACTGAAATATAAGCTGTTGAATCTCAAGCGAAGTTTGTACTCGGAACTGCTTCGAAAAGTTCACTACCTCAAGCCTAAATTTTGAAAGAAGTTCATGAATTCAAGTTTCCGCTGGTGTGAGTTTTCCCGTAGTTATCCACAGAAAAATCTTTCTCTGTTGGTGATGCATTGCATTGGCAGCGACCGTTGTACGTGTTATTTCTATCGTCGAAAAAACAAAACATCCGGTGATTGTTTTTGATTCCTATATCTATTATCAATCATTGAGTTACTAATTTTTTTGACCCGCAACAATTAGGGCTGAATACCGCGACTATGACCTTATTTGGGCCATCTAATGTCTTCAGTTGGGCCAACTTATATGTACCTTCAGTTGACCAATTTATCACGTCAGTTGGGCCAACTTTAGCCCATCAATGCTATTTTTTTTCTTCTCCGTGATGGTAGTGAGGCTGAGGCGACGATCAAAGATAGTGCTAAAATCTGCAATTCTCGCTAGTCCCTCCCCCTGCAGCCTCGGTCCCGTCAATAGGGCTTATCCCCCCTAAATAGCCCCCGCCTCGCCCCCCTAATAGTCCCCGGCCCCCTAATAGCTCCCGCCCCGCTAACAGCCCCCGGCCCCCTAACCTGTCTCTTATACACATCTAGATGTGTATAAGAGACAGGAATACCGCGACCGTGACNTGGTGGATTTTGCTTGAAAGGCCGTCAATGATTGGCTGATGAACTTACGATCTCTAAACTTTTTTGAAAGTATAGGCCCGGGATGATACGGACAGGAGTAAGGGCTTACACCCGACTGTTCTCGGCCCAAGACTGCAGTTAATCGCTTGAGACAGAGCTTATATAGCTGCGCTACTTGACGTCACCAAGGGCGTGACTTGATAAAATGGGAAGGCTAATACAAGGAAATTTTTATGAACATAGGAAATTTTTATGACCACAGCAGTGCAGGGACCACAGCAGTGCTAGTGCAGGGACCACATAAGTACCACAGTCCTACAGTACCCCATGTCCGCAGGACACGTCGTCGGTGCTGGACGTGCAGGTGGTGCACGGGCACGTGGTGCCCGGACGCGCGCTGTTCACGCGGCCGGCGTCGCTGCAGGAGGAGGAGGTCGAGAGCCTCGCCTTCACCGACAACCTCAAGGTCCTCCTGAGGGTGGAGCGGGTCACGCCCCGACCCCCTCCTGTCTGTGAGTGCTGGGGTCCTCCTGAGGGTGGAGCGGGTCACCCCCCGACCCCCTCCTGTCTGTGAGTGCTGGGGTCCTCCTGTCTGTGAGTAACCCATCTGTCTGTGAGTAACCCACCTGTCTGTGAGTAACCCACCTGTCTGTGAGTAACCCCACCTGTCTGTGAGTAACCCATCTGTCTGTGAGTAACCCATCTGTCTGTGAGTAACCCATCTGTCTGTGAATAACCCACCTGTCTGTGAGTAACCCCACCTGTCTGTGAGTAACCCATCTGTCTGTGAGTAACCCACCTGTCTGTGAGTAACCCCACCTGTCTGTGAGTAACCCACCTGTCTGTGAGTAACCCACCTGTCTGTGAGTAACCCACCCCGCCCCCCGCAGGTGCTGCACGTGATCGACGAGGTGCTGCCCCCCACGCACCCCCAGGGGAGGGCCGAGGTCCCCGTCAAGGGCTACCCTACGGCAGCCGACCTCCTCCTCAACTGGCGGGCCTATGGCCTCACGGGGGACCTCAGTGTCGAGTGAGTGGGGCCTCAGCATCGAGTGAGTGGGGCCTCAGCGTCGAGTGAGTGGGCCTCAGCGTCGAGTGAGTGGGGCCTCAGCGTCGAGTGAGTGAGGCCTCAGTGTCTGTCTCTTATACACATCTAGATGTGTATAAGAGACAGAGGGTGGAGCGGGTCACGCCCCGACCCCCTCCTGTCTGTGAGTGCTGGGGTCCTCCTGAGGGTGGAGCGGGTCACCCCCCGACCCCCTCCTGTCTGTGAGTGCTGGGGTCCTCCTGTCTGTGAGTAACCCATCTGTCTGTGAGTAACCCACCTGTCTGTGAGTAACCCACCTGTCTGTGAGTAACCCACCTGTCTGTGAGTAACCCTCCTGTCTGTGAGTAACCCATCTGTCTGTGAGTAACCCCATCTGTCTGTGAGTAACCCCATCTGTCTGTGAGTAACCCGTCTGTCAGTCGATATCTATTAAAATTAAATTATATATTATATTTAATATATAATATTTAATGGAACATATTATTCAGCTGTTCTCCGCCCGCCAGATAACTGAATTTAAATTTATATAATAAATAATAATAATTAAACAGTTACAATACAATATTCTAACAACACAATAACAGTTATTTATTTTACTGAATTTTACTTACTTCTCGAATTTTCTTATTCATTCAACATAAATATTTGTTTATTTATTATATATTTATTTATTCAACATGTGTTTACAGAAGCAAACTGCTTCTGTAAAAAAATTAACATACAAATGAACAAACTATAATTAAATGTTGATATAATCGTGAATAACTCATCAATATTTAAAAAAATATATTCTAAGATGAAAGTAGTAATTAAATATCCAGGATATATCTAGCTAGGACTTGCCTACTTCTACGTAGGAAAATTTTCTGTAAATTAATTTAAAAATATATTTTTATTTAAAAATATATTTTTATTTAAAAAAAATAATTTTCTGTACTGAAAATAACATATAGGAATCTGCTGCTGCAATAATATTCTGATGGACCGCCAGATTAATTAACTTAATACTATATAATAATCAACAATATAATATAATATTGTTTAATATTATAATTTATAATAAACAATAATATATGATATAAAGAATAATAATATTGTGGTGGAGAATTCAACATCCTCCGTCCAGCAGAATAATAATATAATATTCCTATATAATATTATAATAATTATATATAATATATATTATAATAATATAATAATAGAAAATATTTAATAATATTGTGATGGACAATATAACCTTCTGTCCTCCGTCCATCAGAGTATTAATATATTATTCATATATAATATTTGTACCTATATAAGATAGAATTAATAGTAATTAATAACATATAATAATATGATGATGGCCAAATATGCAAATAACATCTGTCCTCCAGACTACGTGACGAGCAACACGGTGGCCTCGGACCAGCGGCACCAGCTGGGCACGGCGATGGCCCAGGTGGCCCGGGCCAACATACTGGTGGCCAACGGCGTGGTCCACCTCATAGCCCGCCGCCTCATGACCAATGCTGAGAGCATCATGTCATACCTCAAGGTATGTGGCATGTGGCGGTCATGTCATACCTCAAGGTGTGTGGCATGTGGCGGTCATGTCATACCTCAAGGTAGGTGGCATGTGGCATGTGGTGGGCATGTCATACCTCAAGGTGTGTGGCATGTGGCATGTGGCAGCTCATAGCCCGCCGCCTCATGACCAATGCTGAGAGCGTCATGTCATACCTCAAGGTATGTGGCTTGTGGCGGTCATGTCATACCTCATAGTGTGTGGTGTGTGGCTGGCTAGTGACTATCGGCATGGTTGAACTATATAAGGTTGACCCACGAGAAGTTCCGTCTTTCAGTTCAGCTTTCTTGTTACGTCACGTAGATCGAGAAACGTAAACAATCCCGTCATTCCCATGATGGATTGGTTGACTGGTTTGATCGCATCTCGGTGATTGGTTGATGCCCGTGACGTCACTGAGATCAGTGACGTCACAGGCGAAAAACTAACTACATCCGCGAAAATGAGCTTCTCATGGGTCAACCTTATACTAGTTCAACCACGGACTAGCGGTGCTGAAGGCACGGTGGAGAACCGCAAGTGTGATGTCACTGAAGGTGGCACACAAAATCAATGAACAGCTAAAGATGTGGGTCAGAACCGGACAAAAGCTAATAGCGCCATAGGTCTTCAGCCAATGCTTAAGCATGCTCGCTCATAAGCAGGGCAGTTCAACATCCTGCTGTACCTACTCCGGCCTAACCTCTTCTGGCCTAACCTATTCACGCTGTCTCGGTTCACAACCTTCTTGCAGCCAATGACTGGCTCCACCAGGAGCCATACTTTTAAAAATCGCTAAGTGAACGTAAGTACTTACGCTCTATTTTCTTGTCTATGATTGGTGGATACTTTCAAAGCTCGCTATGTGAACGTAAGTACTTACGCTCTATTTTCTTGTCTATGATTGGTGGATTTGGCTTAAAAGGCCGTCAATGTTTGGCTGATGAACTTACGATCTCTTAACTTTTTTTGAAAGCATAGGCCCAGCACTCTTGGACTGCCTTTCTAACTTCTTGCAGTCAATGAGGTTATGTTAGGTCCACTCAGGTTTGTTTTGGGTGGAGAAAGGTTGCAGCTTGTGTAGGTTAGGCCTGAAGAGGTTAGGCCAGAGGAGGTTTGGTCAGATGCAGTATGGCCATGTTTACCTTGAGCAAGCTTATTTTGTGGCTGTGGACATCCGGCGCTATGGCTTTGAGCACTTGACTTCATAGGCCGTTATGCGCTCTAGCGTTCTTACCTATGGAAAGGAATATGAACCAAGTGTGAAGTTTGGAAAAGCTGGCCTCCGGCATGCGCCCCATTATAAACCCTCATTAACCCTTTTTAGTCCCGACCAATTCCCTAACCCCCCTCGCCCCCCACAGGAGGAGGGGGGCCAGCTGTCCGAGTTCTACCGGCTGTTCCACGAGCACCAACAGGACCTCCTCAACCGCCTGTCGGGGGCACCCACCCCCCAGGGCTGGACCCTCTTCGCCCCCAACAACCACGCCTTCAACATGGTCAAGGCGGACAGTCTGGAGACGGTGGGTGACACGTGGTGGTCAAGGCGGACAGTCTGGAGACGGTGGGTGACACGTGGTGGTCAAGGCGGAATCAAGGCGGATAGTCTGGAGACGGTGGGTGACACGTGGTGGTCAAGGCGGACAGTCTGGAGACGGTGGGTGACACGTGGTGGTCAAGGCGGACAGTCTGGAGGCGGTGGGTGACGTGGTGGGGACATTCGATGGGATCAGCTTCTGGTCAGAATCTGATTTCCGACTTATTGTAACATCAGAGGATGAAAAGTTTATCGTCCGTGTTTTGGCCTCTCGGAAGCAACGGGTCGCCCCGGACGGGTCCATCCATCACGAAGAGGCCCGGATTTTGGATGGCCGAAACACGAAGAGGCCAAAACACGGACACTACACCATGACAACACAGGGAACTTAAATAAGTTTCCTATCAAAAATTTGAGTTGGTGGCGACCCTGAATTAGGAACCGCCTAGGACTCGGACCGAATGGTAATCATGCTTCTCTATGTTCGCTTTTAGGTCTACATTCCGGACCCCGAATCAGACAGCTACAAGCGCCTGGTACTTATTCTGCCAACTCTTGCCCTACTCTCAGGAGACCATAAAGTCGGCAAGGAGGTTCTGAATAGTCGCTGATTGCGATCAGTTGGCCAACTGACCCAGAATAACTGAAGGGGAGGCTGTAGCATACCCTGAATTTGGTTACGGTTTCTCGTAAGCGCATGACAAGTGTGTCATACCGAGCTAGCCTGCTGCCCAGAGGATGCACTTTGAGCCCGGCCGAAGCGCACATTAGCGGCTGATTTACGCGCTCCCCGAGTCCTGGGCGGCGCCTGATGCAGAGTCGGGCCCCAATCCAAATGTTGCTTGAGTGGGAATGGTGGGTGAGGGCTGTGGGGGATGATGGGTGCCCTGTTGGACGTTAGTCATGGGGAACGATGGGTGGTGTGGGTGACGGTGGTGTGTGTTGGATTTTGGTCATGTGGGGGAATGTGGATGAGAAGAAGAGGTGGCGTAGTGTGTGCCGAATGTTCGGGTGTTGCTAGACAAATTTTTGAGCTTGGTCGTGATGATTTGCATGGTGGGTGATGTCACCCTTCAGGATGCAGCTGCTGTCCTGGGTGATGCCATCACTCGCCCCCTCCCGCCCCACCCCTGTTATCTCCCTCCCCCTATTTCCCTCTGCTCCCTTACTCCCCCAGCTCCTCCATTCTCCCCAACTCTCCCATTTCGCCCCGCCTTCACTCCCTCGGACCCACTCTCCCCCAGCCTTCCCCCCAGTTCCCACTCCTCCAGCTCCCTTAACCCCCCCATGTCCCCCAGATCTCCCTGAACAAGGCTAAGCTGGGGGAGCTGCTGAAGCTGCACATGGTCTCCGGGCGCCTCACCACGGACAAGATAGAGCAGCAGGCCACACTCAAGGTGATTACTGGGTCAAGGTGATTGCTGGGTCAAGGTAATGGCTGGGTCAAGGTGATTACTGGGTCAAGGTGATTACTGGGTCATGATAATCGAATTACTGGGTGAAGTAATGAAACAAAATTTTAAATCAAAGAAACTAAAGGCTAAGATAAGGGGAAACGTACTGAAACAAAAGTTTTTTATAGAATTTTATTTGTTTTCAAGTGCAGTTTTGATTAATACTTTTTTATTACTGATTCTGAATTTATAAAGCCAAATAAGAATTATATATGGAACATATAAATGATAAGAATTTAAAAGCAAAGAATAGTCCACGAAAATTCATATCTTTATGGAAAACGTTTCTGAGACTCCGAAACGTTTTCTATAAAGATATGAATTTTTGTGGACTATTCTTTGCTTTTAAATTCTTAGTTAATTTGCGATTTAAGCAAACAAGTGGCATCAATTCTTTAATATAAATGATATGGTAGATCTATATAATATAATGTATATAATTATATACAATGTCATTGGTTCAGAAGTTTGAGAAAGATAATGAAACAATGTTTTTTCTTAGAATTTCATTTGTTTTCAAGCGCATTTTTCATTAACAATTTTTTTTAATTCTACATTGATACTACCATATTTAAATAAAAAATCCATATTATATATTAGAGATTTTGTAATATAATTGTGTGCAGAAACTGGAGGTGCCCACGGAGAGCCGTGACCGGAAGCTTTACTTCAACGTGTACCGAGAGGCGGGGGGCGCTGGGGGGGCGAAGCTGCCCGTGGTGACGGTGGAGGGGGCGGGGGTGAACGCCACCATCAGGACCCCCAACATCGTCACCAACAACGGCATCATCCACATCATCGACCGCATCATGGACATACCATCACAGACCGTCTACGAGAAGCTCATGAGCAACCCCGAGATAAGGTGATGATAAGGGGGTGATAAGAAGGGATGATAAGGGGGTGATAGGGATGATGATAAGGGGGGGGGGGTGATGATAAGGAGTGATGATAAGGGGGATGATAAGAGGTGATGGTGGTGAGGTGATGATAAGGGAGAGGGGTGATGATAAGGGGGTAATGATAAGGGTGATGATAAGGGGGTAATGATAAGGGTGATGATAAGGGGGTAATGATAAGGGTGATGATAAGGGAGAGGGGTGATGATAAGGGGGAGGAGTGATGATAAGGGAAAGGAGTGATGATAAGGGGGTGATAAGAGTGATGATAGGTGGTGATGATAAGGGGGAGGGGTGATGATAAGGGGGAGGGGTGATGATAAGGGGGAGGAGTGATGATGAGGGGTGACAGTGGTGATGAGGGGTGACAGTGGTGATGAGGGGTGACAGTGGTGATGAGGGGTGATAGTGGTGATGAGGGGTGATAGTGGTGATGAGGGGTGATAGTGGTGATGATAGGGTTATATGGGACGATGGTGTGTGTCGTGGTGGGGATGAGTTTCACCATGAGTTCACCCCACATTCACCCCTAACACACCCCTGGGTGTAGTTAGGGTTGATGTTCAACCTGAGCTGGGTGGATGATTGGGGTGAAAGTGATTGGGTGACATGGGGTGAATGATGGGTGGGGATTAGGATATCCATGTGTTCACCCCGCATTCACCCCGCATTCACCCCACCTCACCCCCGCAGCGTGACGTACAACCTGAGCTCGCAAGGGACGTGGGGTGCGCAGTTCAGGGACCGGGCGCAGAAGTTTACGTTCTTCGTCCCCAACGACGACGCCTGGGACGACGTCAGGACCAAGATGCCCTCAGCCTACAAGAAGCTGGTCATGGGGGAGTTCCCCCAGCACGTGAGAACCTTCCCCCAGTGCTGGGGATTTGTGTTAGTTCCCCCAGCACGTGAGAGCCTTCCTCCAGTGCTGGGGAATTGTGTTAGTTCCCCCAGCACGTGAGTGCCTGCCCCTAGTGCTGGGGAATTGTGTTATTAGTTCCCCCATAAGATTCTCCCTTACATTCATCATTATATTTCCTATTACATTACCTTACCCCAATTCTAGGGAATTATATGGTTTTATTAGTTCCCCCAGCTCGTGAGAACCTTCCCCTAGTGCTGGGGAATTGTGTTGTTTCCCCAGCGCGTGGGGCTTGAATTTAGCTTATTTCTTGGGATCTATTTATAGTTCTATTAGTTCCTCTAAATATTTGCACGAGCAACTTTAATTTGAGGGGTAGAACCATTCCCATCCCACGTTCCCCCTGCTGCCCAGGGTAGGAGTAAAGGGTTGATTGGGGCTAAATTCTATTCCCCATGCATTCATCTTAAATGTATTCATCATTCCCAGGGTATTTTGATTGAATTTTGACATTTCCGGCCGTAATTTTTATTCCCCCTCATGGTCCCCTTGCCCGTTTTCTCACCTCCCCATGTCCCTCCTGACCTCCCATCTGACCCCCTAGTCCCCCATCTCACCCCCTAATCCCCCAACCTCCATTACCCCCATCTCACCCCTTAATCCCCCAGGTGCGGACCACATATGCCCCCCTAATCCCCCATCTGACCCTAATGTCCCCATCTCACCCTCTGGCTCCCCATCTCACCTCCCCATTACCCCCCATCTGAACTCATAACCCCCCATCTCACCCCCTAACCCCTCATCTGACCCCCTAATCCCCCCTGATCCCCCAGGTGCGGACCATCCTGCAGCGGCACCTGCTGGTGGGGAAGGACCTCCCCCTGACGGCGCTGCTCGCGCTCACCAACAACGGCACCCTGAACCCCGCGTCCCCCCACACCCCCCACCTCCTCAACATGTCCAGGGGCAAGATCATGTTCGAGATGAGGGTGCAGCAGAATGCCAATGGTGGGTCAAAAGTGGGCCATAAGTGGGTCAAAAGTGGGCCATAAGTGGGTCAAAAGTGGGCCATAAGTGGGTCAAAAGTGGGCCATAAGTGGGTCAAGTGCGTGCCATAAGTGGGTCAAACGGCTATAAGTGGGTCAAGTGTCGTAAGTGGGTCAAGTATCATAAGTGGGTCAAAAGGTGGGTCATGGGGGACAAGGTGGGTCATGGGGGACAAGGTGGGTCACGGGGGACAAGGTGGGTAATGGGGGACAAAGAGGACCATGGGGTCCCTTTTTTTAATGATTACATCATCACAATTCGACTGAAACTATGATGACCTTAATTTATGTAATGATATTCAATGATGGTTTATCATTCCATCGATCTCCAAATGATGGTTCATCCTCAAGGCCCTCCATTAATATTTATTTATGCGCAAATATGTTAATTTTTCTCGTTATTAAATACGTAAATTCAGGAAGTTTTTGCATCCATTTGTCCTAATAAAAATGGTGTCAATGATGAATGGGGTTATGTCCTAATGCTGACACAGTTTCTATTGTTGAGAACCCATTTTGCCGGACCAAACTGGGTGCGGATGGCTCACATATAACAATAATATAATAATAATAGCGGTTTCAGCGTTTATTAGGCCGTGGGCCTGTCGCCGATTCTTAACATCGCAGAACATTCACAGAATTTTTGAGGTCTCGAACTCGCAACTCACTGCTCCAATTCTGCTGTGCTGAACCGCCCGGCCTCCTCGCCGATTCTGACCAGAAACTGACGCACAGAGCTGGGATCGAACCCGCGCCTCTCTGCGCCAATCTTGGTACTCTGAACTGTAACCACTGGGCCACCCTGCCCATCCACTGGGCCATGAGGGTTAAAAGTTTATTGTCACTATTAGGACAATGCCTCACTCATTTCTCACAGTGCAATAAAACAAACAATTTCACAGGTGCTCATGACGCGGCAAGACGTGACCGTGTCGGGGGCCACCACCCCCACCTCCTTCGCCTTCTTCTCCACGGCGGCCATCTTGATTACTTCCGCCATTTTGCGGTAAACGCGACGCCGACGTCAGCAATGTCGTCATTGTCAGCAATCATATTATTGACGTCAGCAATAATATCGACGTCGTCGCGTATTGCGATCATACGCAGTCTTGCGGTAACCGCAAGACAGCTACAACCTTTAATATGGGCGCCATCTCAACTGTATAGCCGCCATTTTATTTCGTAGCAGCCATGTTGTTTTTTAGGTCCGGTATTTTACTTTTTCATGTCCGCTATTTTATATTTTCAGGTCAGTTTTTTTACTTATTCATTTCCGCTATTTTGTTTTTCATATCGGCCATTTTACCTTTTCATGTCCGCCATTTTTTTCATATCCACCCACCGTTTTGTTTTTCATGTCTGCCATTATGTCCATTTTGTTTTATATGCGTCATTTTGTTTTCATAGGCGTCATTTTGTTTTTATAAGCGCCATTTTTATGATTTAGTTTTCGTAGGTGCCTTTTTGTTTTCATAGGCGAAATTTTGTTCATATGCCACATATGGCAACAATTTTTAATTTACAACCGCCATTTTGATTTCATAGGCGCCATCTTGTTTCCGTGACCGCCATCTTGTCTTTGTGGACACTCGACACTGCCTGGCGGCCATCTTTGTGGCCGACTTTGTCTTGAATGTTCGTTCTCATCGTGAATATTTCATTGTAAATTGTCGGAATTTCGCTGCGATTTTAGTTGAGTTTTAAAATTCGTCAATAAATGGCATTCCCAATTTATTAGATATAATATATTCCGATATATTATTATTTGTGCAGTTGTAGTCTTCGTGTTTAGGCTTAAGGCTTTGAATAAATCCAGTAATTGTAAAGCAAGTAATCCAGTGAATAAATCCAGTAATTGTAAAGCAAGTAATCCAGCGAATAAATCCAGTAATTGTAAAGCAAGTAATCCAGTGAATAAATCCAGCATAAAGCAAGTAATCCAGTGAATAAATCCAGCAAAAAGCAAGTAATCCAGTGAATAAATCCAGTAATTATAAAACAAATAATTTAATCAACGAGATAAAAGGATGCTTGAGTTCACGTCACAAATGAACTTATTTTAAATAATTTCGGCTACGTATTGTAATAAAGTTTTATTTTAGATCGTCAAAGACAAACTCTCTAAGTTAACTAGTGCTAGTGCTGCTAGGTTAAGTCATCACTAGTCGCACTGTGTCACCATTTCTTGTGTATTTGTATTTATTGTTTACGTCCTGTGTGGCTGTTTGTGTGGTCTGTATAGTCGTCTATTTTGTTTGTATGAATTGTTTGGGCACACGCCATCTTTTTCTGAATTAATATTTTTTCGTGTATGATGAATTTAATGAAAATCATTATTATTCAACTCTAATTAGTGATTAGAACGGTCGTGTTGTTTACGTAGAGTGGGGGTTCTTTGTATATTTTGTGTCCAGTTAAATCCGTATACATTAATACATCATACAAGAAAACACAGTAAACAGGAGCCATCGCTGTATTTCACACAGCAACCTTATCAAATTGAAATCATTTCGTGCTGAATTAAATTGTATTTTTAAAAATATCTCATGAAATACAAATGTATACTCAAGTATACTCCTAATCTTGATGAATATCTTGTATGGGTCCTGTGTTCGCTGTGTAGTATACAACCTTTTGCTCGTACTATCACAAAAATTGATGGGACAAACTGTCTCAATAGTGACACATCTGCTGAGTTTAGCACTGCATTCGAGTCAAACTGAGTCAAGACGACCCATATAACGGCCAAAGTACATCGCTATTGGGACAAATCTCGTGAATTTATCTGTGTGTATCCTTGTGTTCCGCGCCCCCCTCCCCTCTTACCATTGCAATGTTTATTAATGTTTCTCTATCCATGACTTTTAAACTTTTTTTTAATGATGACTTTGAAATAGCGCAATTTTTCGAAAAAAATCGCCCCATTTCGGGGGGTATCCCCTTCCCCCTTTATTATTTATTGCTGAATTGGAAATAGCGCAATTTTTTTCTCGAAAAAATCACCCCACCCCCTTATAAATAATCACCCCCACCCCCTTAAGTCTTGTGGAGTTACCGATGCATGTTCGTTTTCTGATCACACGTTTTCTTCTTCATAGAAAACGACTTGTAAAAAATGCTATGCGGAGGTGGGACCTAAACAAAACTGCGATGCCGCATTAATGTTTTAAACTCTTAACTCCTCCTACTTAACCTTGTAACCTCATACTCTTCACTATCAAAAATATAAATGGGTTATAGTGTACAAATAGTGACACTTTCTACATGTTGCACTGAAAAGTCCATTTGCTGGACGAAACTGTTTCAGGTTGACCCACAAAATAACTAATTTTTCTATAAACTTTGAGGTTTTATCTCGTAAAAAACTAATTGCTTTGACTAGTGAAATATCTAGGCAGTTAGTGAGTCACCGAAGTGCATCTTGTGCAGTCACTAGCCCCCCACCTAAACTAGTAACTAGCCAGGCTATCTAGTAACTAGCCGGGCTATCTAGTAACTAGCCAGGCTATCTAGTAACCAGCCAGGCTATCTAGTAACTAGCCAGGCTATCTAGTAACTAGCCAGGCTATCTAGTAACTAGCCGGGCTAACTAGTGACTAGTCAGGCTATCTAGTAACTAGCCAGGCTATCTAGTTACTAGCCAGGCTATCTAGTAACTAGCCAAGCTATCTAGTAACTAGCCAGGCTATCTAGTAACTAGCCAGGCTATCTAGTAACTAGCCAGGCTATCTAGTAACTAACCGGGCTGTTCACTAGTTAACGTCTTGGCTTGCACCTAACTGCTTCACTGTATCTCCGCTAGGTGCACTAGTGTTCAACTGCCGCCTCAAGTCTCAAGGCCGTTACAGAATTGGCCCAACCAATTATCCAATTAATCGCATATAATACTCAACCCAATCACTTATCTAGTATCAGCCTATGAATAAAGTAGCTATAATTGGCCAGTGAATGATGTATAGCCTTTTCTCAATCATTATTACATGTTGTTCCATCAAAAAATGTTCATGAATTTGATGTATGTTGAAATTATAGCAATAAACCGACGCGGCAACCGCGACGTATAGTCTCTACGATGACGTCATAAGCGATGACGTCACGAGCGATGACGTCATTAACGATGACGTAAGTCGCTTCCAATCACGTGGCCGGGTTTTGGGCTAAGAATTGTGCTTATGTGGACTGAAGTTAAAATTAATTATACGACATCTTTTGATTTGTGGTCTTTTCGGACTTTGAAATCATCACAGACCTATGGCAATCATTTCAGGACTTTCGACGTTGAGCTCGTCAATGAAAAATGAATTATTTCTGATAACTTCTCTTGAGTGTAGGGAACCTTATCTGAAATTCTTATCTTTGTAATTTCTTGAATGCCTACGACGGCTGATATGTCGGGGTTAACTGCGGGGTCAAATCCACCTAGCCGTGATAATCTCATTAAAATTATTATTTTTTCGGCTACAAATCTACGTAAATTATTTCTCGCTATATGCGGTTGCTGGCGATGTTATCGTAAACGATGAGATTATTTCTATGTTGAAACCTGAGGAAAATGAAGCATCGTTCGTTCGCTATGAATAATTAATGTGTCACGGGCACCCCGTGGGTGTCACGGGCACCCCGTAGGTGTCACGGGCATCCCGTGGGTGTCACGGGGAACCCGTGGGTATCACGGGCAACCAGTGGGTGTCACGGGCATCCCGTGGGTGTCACGGGCACCCCGTAGGTGTCACTGGCATCCCGTGGGTGTCACGGGCAGCCCGTGGGTGTCACGGGCAACGTAGGTGTCACGGGCATCCCGTGGGTGTCACGGGCAGCCCGTGGGTGTCACGGGCACCCCGTAGGTGTCACGGGCATCCCGTGGGTGTCACGGGAAACGTGTAGCATAATTCCCCGTGCGTGTGGGTGCGTGCAAATGTGTTGCGTGTGCGTGTGGTCCTCCGGTGCGTGTACCTCGTGTACACACACGCATGGAAGTGTTGCGTGTCGAACACTTCTCATTGTTCCAAGTATTTTGTTGTGTGTACGTGTCTTGACTTGCATATACTCAGCGCCGTGCAGCTACCACGCCGTAACCAGGATACGGTGGCCGTAACCAGGATACGGTGGCCGTAACCAGGATACGGTGGCCGTTACTTGGTTGCGGTTGATTAGTTGTGCTGGTGGCGGAGGTACGACAACCACTTCGCTGTTAGCTGCTAGCTCTATAATTATATTTTTATTGCCTATAGCATTCAAAGTCTGCCTACAAACTTTCGGTCTGCCCTTTTCTTTTGAGATTAAAATTGAACTCTTTTCTCCAGGTTGAACTGTTTAAAAATTTATATCAACTAGTCAAGAATATTAACTTGTATTTACCAGGTTTTCACTGATTCTTGAAGTTACTGTAATAAATTATTTAAAATTTATATCTCCCTAGATGAAAAATGTCGACCAACCCCCAATATTGAACCAGTAACATTAATTATAATAACTTTGGCCCTCTCAGATTTGCTATAATATTGTATGTTGAATCTACCCCTGGAGATTGGTTCTTACACTATATATATATAGTATAATTAATGTCTAGTTTGTGAAGCGTATATGTGCGTATCTTCTGCCGCACACACGCGCAGAGATCTTGTTCGCTTTAATCTTATTGAATTCACTAAGAAATGTCGCCACTGCCCCCATGTGTGAATGTGCAGACAACTTCTCCATAGTAAACATGTCTGGAAACCTGGCGTCTAGTACCTTACCCCCCATATTTTTAATTTCATTATATTACATAAGAATAATGATATAAATAACGTTCTGTAGCGATTTTAGGGATAACGGTTTTTACAGCTAGCCGGGGCTCAAACGCGCAACTCGCCAAAATTTTTTTTTTTTAAGCCGTAAATCTTGAAATTCTCGAGCGAGAAGATTTTTCTCCCACAGCCAGTCTCCTGATTTTTTTTTTCAAAATAATACTTATTGAATTTATTCCACATTTTCGAAATCCTGAAAAAAACATTCGAATTAAAATTGCAGGAGAATAACACGGCTCGTTGCCTCGTTGCATTGGTACAAAGTTTATTTATTTAACTTAAGTTGTAAAAATATCAATACATTAACGAATGAGAATGACGTAATTATACAACAAAAGTCATTGAGGAGGATGGTAGCTGCTATCCATCATTTCATATTTAATACAAAAACAATCTTAAGAGGTTCAAATCCACCATTAAATCTAGAAGCTGCCTCGTATCCCCTTTAGGAAAAGAATATTTCAGTCCCTACTGAAAATTGAGACAGAAAACGCACGTACATAGAAAACTTTCATCAACAACTATTTACAGGGGGGACAATTTTGCAGAGACTAATGTTCGAAACCTTTTTTCTTTCTAAAAACGGACATTTTTTGCAGGTGATGTCTAAATCTGGAAATTATAAGAAAACGGAAATCTTCAGAGAGAATACGAAATATTTTTTTAAATAATTTATATAAAAACTATTTAACCATTGAGGGGGACTCGTTATCTGTAATCAAAGAAAATGGGAATTTACTGAAGAAAATTTTTGCGGGCTAACTGTTTTATTAAATAAATAAATAATTCGTCAGGAATTCGATGAACTACTATTATTCACTGCTTTAAATCAGCTAAATGCAGTACGAAGATTCATATAAAAATATCGTCAACAATTCACATTACCAAACCCCTCAGGAAACCGAGTTTACAATTTGTAACAAATAAATAAAATTACAAATCTTCTTAATTGAAATAATTTATCGCACAAATGCGGAATGTTTGCGGCCAATAACATTAAAGCTAATCAGAAATACGGAGCAGGTACAAGAGTAGAAAACATTGCCTGGAATATCAATTGAAGACGTACACTAGGAACAATAAATGGTGATATTGTCTAAATGGTGACACGCTCTCTTAACCACAGCGGACGTAGCACTGATACGAGCTTTTATAGAATAGAATAGAAGTGTCGGCGTTGAAGAAATAGGCCCATGGCCTGTTGCCGATTCTTGAACTTTTCGTGACTTGATTCACAAGGGATCCGGCCTTTGGAACCCGAATCCTTCTGGGACCTTGTATAAGCCATGAGTATACTTGTATGCTTCAATGAGGTCCCCACGCAGACGTCGATAACTGAGGCTTGGAAGCTTCATAGTCTTTAATGTTTCCTCATAAGACTTACCTTTCAAGCCTGGAACTGTCGCATATATGTGTTACAACGCAGTTTGTCGGGCCAAACTGTGTCAGGATGACCCACGAGCAGTCGATATTAGGACAAAAATCACCATTATTTCTCCCAGTGCAGACAAATGCGGCCAATAAAACCGGCAAACAAAAAATGGCCAATTAACGAATAAGGCTAATTAGTTCAGCTCATTACCCGCCAGGTAACTAATGAGTAATTATAATAAATGGCTTAACGAGGCAGCTCACAACCACGCGCCTCTGCTGCGCCCTAATAACTAATTAACAAACTAATCATTGTTAACACGGTACCGCCGGTACACGGTACCGATACGCCCGGTAGACGGTACCGGGACGCCCGGTACACGGTACCGATACGCCCGGTAGACGGTACCGGGACGCCCGGTACAGGTACACCGTACAGAGACGCCCGGTACACGGTACAGGGACGCCCGGTACACGGTACAGGGACGCCCGGTACACGGTACCGGGACGCCCGGTACACGGTACCGGAACGCTCGGTACACGGTACAGGTACGCCCGGTACACGGTACAGGGACGCCCGGTACACGATACCGGGACGCCCGGTACACGGTACCGGTACGCCCGGTACACGGTACCGGTACAAATAAGGCACATGGCTATATATACACATGAGCGTCCAATCACACAGAGTAATCTAATCAACAGCTGATCAATGTAACTTGCTCTATTTTCCAGCAGTCAAAGTTTGAAATCTAATAAATAATTTTGTATCATAACGAATAAAAATATTATGTAATTCTGCGTTGGAATCTAACGGACAATCCATATCCTGAAATACAAGCACTCGAGTTTATACAAGAAACACGCCACACAGGACAAACGTTGCTTGGCAGATAGAACGTTTGTATCAACAAACGTTGCTTGGCAGATAGAACATTTCAATCAAAAAACGTTGCTTGGCAGAAAAAACGTTTCTGTCAACAAACGATGCTTGCCAGATAAAACGTTTCTGTCAAAAAACGTTGCTTGGCAGACAAAACGTTTCTATATCAACAAACGTTGCCTGGTAGACAAAACGTTTGTATATCAACAAACGTTGCTTGGCAAACAAAACGTTTCTATATCAACAAACGTTGCTTGGCAGACAAAACGTTGGTATCAACAAAAGTTACTTGGCAGATAGAACGTTTCTATCAACAAACGTTGCTTGTCAGACAATTGGTTTCAATCAACAAACGTTGCTTGCTAGACAAATCGTTTCTATCAACAAACGTTGCTTGGTAGACAAGACGTTTCTATCAACAAACGTTGCTTGGCAGACAAAACGTTTCTATCAACAAACGTTGCTTGGCAAACAATAACAAAAACGTTCCCTGCAAACGCTCAATAAAATAACCGGATCATTTCAAGTTAAAAAATTCACCCTGACGTTCTGCCAATCCTGCGCTCCATTGTCATTCATATAAACAATAATTAATCGGTAATTATTCAATATTTCTATATTAAAAATTCATTCAACAAATTCAAAAGACAATAAAGTAAAAATATTCATGGCATAGCTTGCATCTACCACTCATAGTCTCGATAACAAAACTTATATTGTCATTTATAGGAGCTAATCCTTCAGTAATTTTAGGCCGCCTTTCATTCTTCACTTATGAATGGTTTGATTCATTAATTCAATAATAATTTAAATTATTCATTCATTCATTTATAATTTAATTGAGTAAAAGTTCAGTATAAAAGACCGTGTAAAAAATATGTCGGTTTGCTCGCGAAAATGGAAGACGGGCGCTGAAGAACAAGTAATTTAATCTATTAATTAATTAATAGATAAATTCACTAAAGATTAATAGCTTCCATATACATTTTCAATATATCCAAAAACATACAATTTTATATGCAATAAATTTAAACGATAATCCTCGGAGGTTTTTAACCTCAGGACGGACATAATTTACTAATTAGCGGGCCAATTAGGTTAAGTTCTAATTAGTTTAGGGCCTAATTAAGGTCTGATCACACAACAAGCTTCCAATGTATCACATTTCACAAGAAAATTGACGAAATTGCACAATTTCAGGGCACTTGAGTGAAATTGCTGCCGCTTGACGTTTGGTGAGCAAACGTTTGTTGGGGCGGCAAACAAACGTTGCCCGGAGAACAAACGTTGCCCGGAGAACAAACGTTGCCCGGAGAACAAACGTTGCCCGGATAACAAACGTTGCCCGGAGAACAAACGTTGCCCGGATAACAAACGTTGCTCGGATAACAAACGTTGCCCGGAGAGCAAACGTTAATTGTAAACAAACGTTTCTTAAATAATCTATACATAAAAATTCACCCTTCATAAATACGATGAGTCACCGGTGCTTCATTCACAGAAATTCATGAATGGAGCGAGCGCGTGAATGGAGGCGCGTACACACGCGCCGTATGTACACTACACGCTGAGTACTATGTACAGGGGGGGAGAGGTGGGGTAAGAAGAGGGGGGAGGCAGCGAGGGGTTAATAAGGGGGAAAGGCTAATGAGGGGGAAAGGTTACTTAGAGGGAGAGGGTAGTGAGGGGTAGAGATTAGTGAGAGGGAGAGGTTAATGAGGGGAAAATTTGTGAGAATTAGGCCTGCATGAGCGGTGGTAATGAGAGGAGGGAGAGAAGGGCGGGTGGCAAAGGTAAGGGGAGGAGGTATAAGTAATGAGAGGGGAGGGAGAAGTGGGGGTTATGAAAGGGGGGTGAGGCGGCAAGGTGAGGCTCTTGAAGCTGTCATTAAATAAAAGGCCTGGCGCAACATTCCAGCCACTTGTGTTCCCTAACCAAATTTAGAGGCGTGCGCGACCCTGAATTAGGGTCGCCCAGGACTCGGGGAGCGCGTAAATCAGCCGCTCATGTGCGCCTCGGCCGGGCTCGCAGTGCAGCCTCTGGGCAGCTGGCTAGCTCGGTATGACTCGGCACGGCCAACCCTTGTCATACTCTCCCGCGACTGTAAAGGAGATTTTGACCAGAAACCAACTTCCATCTTGTGGCCAAGCAGACTCAACGTTACATCCGACGACGACTCGGAGACGGAGGACGACGAAGGCGGCGCATCAGCGTGACCGGGGACTAGGAAGTCCCGAACTCATCATAAGGTCATAAGGTCAGACCCGAGTCTGCTTGGCCTTTACGCCGAGTGTAGCGACTCTTCGGCAGAAGCCCAGATGGTCCCCAAATTTTGTTAGGGTTGAGTGTAGAGCCACTCCTGCCACTCTTATAGCTGCTGTTATTGATGCTGCTGTTGACATATAAACATGAGGCTCTACATGTCGCTTCGGTCCCCGTGGGTGTCACGGGCCACCCCGCAGGTGTCACGGGTCACCCCGTGGGTGTCACGGGCCACCCCGCGGGTGTCACGGGTCAACTCGCGGGAGTCACGGGTACCCCCGCAGGTGTCACGGGTCCCCCCGTGGGTGTCAGTGGTCCCCCCGCAGCAGCTCGAAGAGGAAGTTGAAGCTCGGCACGTCGCCTTCTTTTTTCTTCATGGACAGCAACTCCTTGCTGGTCTGTAATAGAATTACCTTAATTACCTGAGTTACCGGCACGATACTAACTGAGTTACCCTACCTTTACCCAGTACCAGGGCAGTTCCCAATCATTACCTGAGTTACCAGCATGATACTAACTGAGTTACCCTCCCATTACCCAGTACCAGGGCAGTTCCCAATCATTACCTGAGTTACCAAGCCCTGATTATCTCGCGCTCGACGGCCCATATAAACTGCAGCACGAATATAACATCAGATCCTTACTCATGTTAATATATCTATGTTCTTCAAGTGATAATAATACATTAATAGTTATATAATAACAATAATATAATGATAATAATTTCTGTTATAAAATCAATAATACAGGGTGCGGCAGTGAGGGCGGACGGTTTTAAAAACGTCATAAAACAGTATATTTTTAGTGAAAAACAAATTTAATGTTGCAATCAGGTTCACAAAGAAATAACATTTCAGGCAGTGAGGGCGGACGTTTTTGTGATATGTAGTACTTTCCCCCACCATCTACGAGAGAGGGGGGGGAGGGTTTCGTTTGACTCGTGCATAGCATTGTTCGTGTTTCAGTTGCCATGGAGCCTTGGACGCATCGCGTTTTCGCCTATGATTGTTTCGTCCTAAATAATGAGCCAGTCACCGTCGTACAACGTAAGTTTCGACGTCACTTCAACATTCACCGGAATAGAGCTGTTCCTTTCGAAACACCATCCTTCGTTGGGTTGAATCACTTCGCAGGCGTGGTGAAGTGATCAACAGAAGACCAAGAGGAACTCTGCGAACAGTTCGAACTCCTGAAAATGTGGAAATCGTTCGACAAGCCTTTCTTCGCAGTCCGACTCGATCTGCCCGGCAGCATGTTGCTGCACTTCGCTTCAGTGACCGTTCGGTGAGGCGAATTTTGCATATGGATCTCCGCTTTCACCCAAACAAATAGGCCATTGTGCAACAGTTACAGCCCGGAGATTATGCACAGAGAATAAACTTCGCACGTGAGATGGAAGCACTGATAGATGGAAATGATAATCTCATATTGTTTATGAGTGACGAAGCCCACTTTCACATAAACGGCATGGTTAAGCAGCAGAATTTCCGTTATTCGGCTAATGAAAATCCGCAACAGTTACACGAAAGACCGCTGCACAGCCCAAAAGTAACGGTTTGGTGTGCTGTATCGCAAACCTGCATCATTGGCCCTTACTTCTTTGAAGACGGTAATGGTCGTGCTGTTACAGTGAACTCAGAGCGCTACAAAGAAATGATGACCAACTTCTTTGTGCCTGAATTACGGCAACGCGACGTGTGTGGTTCCTGCAGGATGGGACGACCGCTCACACAACCAGACCATCAATGGACGTCATCCGCCCACTCTTCCCTGGTCGCCTTATTTCCAGCTTTGGTGATGTTCGTTGGCCTCCTCGGTCCCCAGATTTATCCATATGCAATTTTTTCTTATGGGGACATCTCAAGGCTACAGTATACGAAGACAAGCTCCGACATCTGGACAAATTAAAGGACGCAATTCGCGTGGAAGTCGCGCATGTTGAGAAAGCGGTGTTGGAGGGAGTCTACGCGAACATTCAAGAACGCCTACAGCATTGCATCAACAATTTCGGCCACCACACGCCAGATGTTATTTTTCACACTTGACTGTGTGAAGTGCTATTTCTTTGTGAATCTGATTGCAACATTAAATTTGTTTTTCAATAAAAATATACAGTTTTATGACGTTTTTAAAACCGCCCGCCCTCACTGCCGCACCCTGTATAATTAATCATATCAAATTACTAACCCAACAATATTATAAGAACATAACCAGAGATACACTGTTAGAAAAATTACCGTTAACGGTATTACCGGCGTTTCAGTGGCCGGTCGGCACGTGAAAATAAACACCGTTACACCGTTTTTATTCAAATTAAAACTACAAATCCGTAAAACATTTGATAAAAACGGCGAAACAGTTTATTTTCACGGGGCGACCGGCCACTATAACGCCAGTGGGACCGTTTTTTGTAACAGTGTACCCTCAAATGCCCAGAAATACCCCGGATACCCACATGACAGGTGCGCTGGAGCTCGGGTATCCGCATGAGTATCTCGCCGTACTTGCCGGGCTGGTGCGGGTAATTGGTACGCGTGTACTCCTCCAGGGAGTGTAGTACACGCTCCTGGCTGTACTGTACACGCTCCTTGTCCTTCAGGCCCGCCACGTCTGCGGTACAGCGGTACATTAGTACAGCTGGTACAGCTGGTACATTAGTACAGCTGGTACATTAGTACAGCTGGTACAGCTGGTACATTAGTACAGCTGGTACATTAGTACAGCTGGTACAGCGGTACATTAGTACAGCTGGTACAGCGGTACATTTGTACAGCTGGTACAATGGTACATTAGTACAGCTGGTACATTAGTACAGCTGGTACAGTGGTACACTAGCTGAGTAGCATTCAGCCTAGTATATGTAGAAGTTGCGTGACGTCACACCGACGTACGCTGATGCGCACTGCGCACAACTGTATGTGTAAACTAGAACTAGTGACGATCGCATATGAATAGGTAGGGTATTACTGAACTAAGCAGCACTATAACCTAGCACTATGACCCACCTGAGCAGCACTATAACCTAGCATTATAAGCCACCTGAGCTGAGCAGCACTATAACCTAGCATTATAAGCCACCTGAGCTGAGCAGCACTATAACCTAGCATTATAACCCACCTGAGCTGAGCAGCACTATGACCTAGCATTATAACCCACCTGAGCTGAGCAGCACTATAACCTAGCATTATGACCCACCTGAGCAACACTATAACCTAGCATTATAACNCGGAAGAGTGGCAGGCTCTTGCACCACTCACCGCGATGTGGCGGAAGAGTGGCAGGCTCTTGCACCACTCACCGCGATGTGGCGGAAGAGTGGCAGGCTCTTGCACCACTCACCGCGATGTGGCGGAAGAGTGGCAGGCTCTTGCACCACTCACCGCGATGTGGCGGAAGAGTGGCAGGCTCTTGCACCACTCACCGCGATGTGGCGGAAGAGTGGCAGGCTCTTGCACCACTCACCGCGATGTGGCGGAAGAGTGGCAGGCTCTTGCACCACTCACCGCGATGTGGCGGAAGAGTGGCAGGCTCTTGCACCACTCACCGCGATGTGGCGGAAGAGTGGCAGGCTCTTGCACCACTCACCGCGATGTGGCGGAAGAGTGGCAGGCTCTTGCACCACTCACCGCGATGTGGCGGAAGAGTGGCAGGCTCTTGCACCACTCACCGCGATGTGGCGGAAGAGTGGCAGGCTCTTGCACCACTCACCGCGATGTGGCGGAAGAGTGGCAGGCTCTTGCACCACTCACCGCGATGTGGCGGAAGAGTGGCAGGCTCTTGCACCACTCACCGCGATGTGGCGGAAGAGTGGCAGGCTCTTGCACCACTCACCGCGATGTGGCGGAAGAGTGGCAGGCTCTTGCACCACTCACCGCGATGTGGCGGAAGAGTGGCAGGCTCTTGCACCACTCACCGCGATGTGGCGGAAGAGTGGCAGGCTCTTGCACCACTTGACGATCTTGTAGAGGCGGTTGTCCGCGATCTGGCAGAGGTCATTGAGTACGTCGCCCCCCGCCCCCCCACCGCCCCCCGCCATCGCCGCTCTGGCGGCGGGGGCGGCGCTCCCCGCCTCCCGCAGCTCGCTCTCGCTGCACCGCCACAGATGCTCTACGTCGTGGATTTGCTGCAAGGGCGGCGGTGATGGTGATGGTTATGATTACAGTGATGATGGTGATGATAGTGATGGTTATGGTGATAGTGATGGTGGTAATGTCCGGTGTCTCATTATATTCATTGTAATTTATACGTAATATTCATTAGACGTGGTAGGGAGTGATGAGTACTAGACCTGAGTCAGCGTCTGTTCAACATCACGTGATAGATCACGCGATCAAGACCTCAGTATATAGTGGGCGGAAGCCGTGACTATATAAAAGGGCTGGGAACCTTAGTAAAGCCCCCCGTTACTAACTGGCACGCTCCATGTAACTCGCGTTGAAGCTATTTATACCTAACGGTGGACGTCCTAGCTTTACCTGTAGCGTATCACTCATGTATAGTCACCCCGTATATACTGTATCGTATCACGCATGTTTTACCGCCCCGTATCGAGATCAGTTTTCCAGTCTTGTAGTGCTGTGCCATATCACTCACGAACAGTTTAATATATAGTCTGACAGGAGAAGGATTCGTGAGGGATAAGTAAGACATTATCTGTCAAGATAACTTATCTCGATATGGGGTGGTAATACATGTGTGATACGATACAGGTATCGCTAAGACGTCGGCCGTTAGGACGGAGTAGCTATAACGCGAGTTAAATTGCGACGTGCATACTTGTCAGCTTCTGGGGGGCTTTACTAAGGTTCCCCGTACTTTTATAGAGTCACGGCTTCCGCCCATCATTAAGGTCCTGATCGCGCGATGTTGACAAGACGCTGACTCTGGTCTAGTACTTTTCCATCAATCTGTACCACGTCTAGCGAATATTACGTCTCAATTATAGAGATCTAATCATACACTATAATTATAATGAATAGAATCATTAGAATGAGACCCTGATTGACACCGGACAGTGGTAATAGTGGTGACGGCGTGAAGATAGCTATATATGGTAAATAATGACGGTTACGACGATAGCTATGGTTATGTTCACTGTGTGTCAGGGAGCCAGCCTTGACTCCCTGCCTCACAGCCACCCAGACCTGCCTCACAGCCACCCAGCCCTGCCTCCCCGCCTCACAGCCACCCAGCCCTGACTCCCTGCCTCACAGCCACCCAGACCTGACTCCCTGCCTCACAGCCACNGGAAAAGCCGAAATTGTCGATTTTGGACCAAGACGCTCCCCTTAATTATTGGTGCCTTGATTTGTTGATAATTCTATTCTAAACTATTTTAATTATAACCATTTATTTATAATTTATATTGATTATAAATGTTGCCTAAAAGTTGGGGGGGGGTGGAGGGGGAGTAGCATGACTCACCTGGGACGGGGGGGAGTAGTGGGGGGTGGGGGAGATGGGGGAGGGGGCGCTGGAGTAGGAGGTGTAGGAGCCCCCGTACTGGGAGGCGTCGCTGTTGTTGCGGCTCAGCCCCGTCGAGGGGGAGTGGCTGGGGGAGGGGGAAAAATTAATTAAACCCAGTAGAGGGTACAAAAAATGTAAAAAAATGTTTAAGCAAAATTTAGCTTTTTGGGGTAAAATTTTTTTTGCCCCAAACTGGGGTAAAAACGTGAACATTTTAGGGTAAAAACATTTATAGTTACTCCGTAACCCCCACATCCCTGAGGCAACCCCCACCATCTCACCTATAGGGGGAGGCAAACCCCGACAGGTGTCGTGTGATCCCCGGGCTCTCGGTGGGAGAGTAGAGGGGATTGGGGGAGTGAAACCTGCGGGATGTGATACACAATTAATACATCAGGCTTGTGTATAATGCATTCAATAAAAATAATACGTTGAGTACAGGCTCAATACATTTCATACACTGTATGTAAATGATATTAAGAAGGCATTCGGCAACCCTGGCCAAGGGTTGCCAACTAGGCGGGCAGTATATAAGGCAGCACAGGCCAGGGGTTGCCAACTAGGCGGGCAGTATATAAGGCAACACTGGCCAGGGAGGCCAGGGGTTGCCAACTAGGCGGGCAGTATATAAGGCAGCACTGGCCAGGGGTTGCCAACTAGGCGGGCAGTATATAAGGCAGCACTCAACTGCAGGTGCGCCAGTCAGGGTAGTGGAAGGCTCGGGTGCGGTTGTGCGTTCAACGGTGGTCAAAAAAAACAGTCTGTCCCGATAGGTGTTTTTCTCATTTGTTTTATGATCTTGTTACCTTTATTTTTATATTTAGAATTACCCTCGTTAGGAAAAGTAATCTTTCCTAAGATATATGGCATTTCAATCACCTCTAACTTAAATAAATGATATTTTTTAACGAAAAACGCTCATTGTTTGGGGGTTGCAATGGCTTACCTGGGGAGGAGGGGGCTCTGGTTGGGGGTGTAGGGGCCGGGGAGCACCTCACACCCTGAGTCGCTCCCCCGCGCGGGGATGGGGGAGTCCAGGGTAGAGTGGGGGAGTTGGGACTGCTGGATCTGCTGCTGCAGCTGCTGTGACTGCTGCAGCTGCTGCTGCAGGATACTCTGCTGCGTCTGCAGCTGCTGCTGCAGCTGTAGGTGCTGCCGCTGCACCAGCGACAGCGGCTCCTCCTGCTGCTGCTGTTGCTGTAACAGCAACAGCGCTGCTGCACTGCTGCTGTTATTGTTGCTGTTGTTGGTGGCAATAAACTGCAGCTGCTGCAAGTGCTGTTGTAGAATAGTCGTGTTGCTGTTGTTACTGTTGTTACCATCGTTTGCTGTTGTTGTGGCAACTTGGTTCAACGGCAACAGGGCAGGCGGTTGACTCTGTTGTTGTTGTGCTGTTGCCGTTGCGTTGACAGCAGTGGCAACAGAGACTGAAGAGCTGCTGTTGACAGCGGCTGTTGTCGAGAGGTTGACAGCAGCGGCAACTGTTGACAGGAGCGCTAACGGCACCAGGGCGGCACTGCTGGCAACCACGGCCGCCTGCTGTGTTGGTGATGTGATGATGGTGTTGGTGTTCTCGGTGGTGACAAATACCTGCAACGTGACGTCATCATAACGTGTGACTGGTTAGCTTCTATACGGGGGGCTACAGGGGGGGCTGTTACATCGGGGGGTTACAGGGGGGCTGTTACATCGGGGGCTCCAGGGGAGGCTGTTACATCGGGGGCTACAAGGGGCCTAATACACGGGGGGGGGGCTACAATTAAGGGGTCTATAACACGGGGGGCTATGACAAGGGGAGGCACTTAACGGTCCCTGATCGTCCGCCTCAGCACCACTATGTCCGGTGTCAATCTGGCGTCTCATTATAATCATTAATATTGTATGTAATTGAGACGTAATATTCACTTGACCTGATAGAGATTGAGGACGAGTCAACATCTGATAGACACGTGATAGATCACGCGATCAAGACCTCAGTAGTGGGCGGAAGCGAAGCCTATATAAGGGCTAGCAACCTTAAGCAGACCCCCCAGTAGCTGATGAGCACTCCGCGATGTAGCGTGTAGCTTGAGTTCTCCGACCTTACGGTCGATGTCGTAGCTTATTCCTCTGTATCGTAATGTATGATCACCCCGTATACAAGATATGTTATCTGCACAGATCTGTATTTCTTATCCCTTACTAACTTAGTCAACGTAAACCGATCCTCAGGTAGAGCTTATAGTTTAACACGTTGACTCGGATTGCTTCATCTTGTACTATTATTTCATTTTTGTACTGTTTTTAAACAGGGTTGCCAGACGGTCATTTTTTCCGGACAAATTCCGTGATTTAGTTTTTCTCAATTGCGTTGGCCGGCTAAAATTTATGATAGGGGTAGTTCCTAATTAAATTTTAAATATTGCAAAAAGAAAATAAATGGAAATTTTATAGCGGAACCTACAAATAAACTAGTATACATTGAATTATCGTTTTTTTGGCCTTTTTTGTTCTCAGATTTGGCCGATTTTAGGCAACCTGAATTATGTACCACTACGTCCTGGAGAAATACATTTCGTGGTACGCATATGTACCAATACGTAGTCAACGTGTTAATGAGCATCGTGTACGCGTGTAAGAGGGGAGTATTATCCCCGCTTCCCCCTCTTCCTGGGGGAGGCGTAACAACCCCAGTCCCCCCCATTACCTGGTCGTGGGGGAGGTGTATGGCGGTGGGAGCGTCGGGGGACATGGGTGACATGGGCTCCTCCAGCTCTCTCATCCCGTCCTCCTGGGGGAGTGAACCTCATTACAGCTGTGATAAAACTGCATAAACTGTACAGTGTTATTGCAGCTGAGAAGTATGTAAATGTATGTAAACTTGTACAAATTACAAAAAATGTAAACTTGTAAAATGTATGTAAACTGTAAAAAAAATGTATGAGAAGTATGTAAATGTATGTAAACATACATACAGGCTCATACACGTGTGTGAGCATACGTACACACGCCTCATACACGTGTATGAGCATACGTACACGCCCACACGTACACGTGTATGAATATACATACGCACGCCTCATACACGTGTGTGAAAACACGTACAGACACACGTGTATTAAGACAGGCACCACACACACACACGCATGTATGAACACACACACGCACACACACACACACACGCATGTATGAACACACAGGCAGTCTTGGCGCAGGTCCCAAGCAAGGTCGCGCTCTCCCGCGTGACCGCGGCACACAAGCTACACAGAGTACACAGGGTACACGAGCAACGCAGAATACAGGGTATACAGAGTATACGAGGGACAGGATATACAGGGTACACAATAAACACGAGGAATACATGACACATAAGGTTAAGACTACACAGGGTATACAGAGTATACAGGGCATACAAAGTATACAGGGTACATCAGGATAAGAGTATACAGGGTATACACGAGTATATAGAATATACACAGGGCATAAAGTGTTTATACACGCATTCATACGAGGAATGTTAACCGAAAGCTTCGGGGAATATTATAGTTTTATGTGTGAAATAGAAATAGAATTATAATTAATAGTGCTGAATTTATGAACTATTTTTATTATACTTAATATCGTTGACTTTAATTAATTAATTTCGTCATGCTAAATATTATTGAATTTATGAACTAATTTTTTATTTTGCCGTCAACGTGTCGAGCACGCGACATGTTGCCAACACGTTTTGGTCTTGTTGTATTTACTACGCATTTTGTTGTGGCATCCCGTCAACCGCCGTAACGGTCCCCGCCACCCGCCGTAACGGTCCCCGCCACCCGCCGTAACGGTCCCC